CCCCAAAACCCCAAAACCCCAAAACCCCGGTAAACTATTATTCAGCAGAGTGTGGATGTGCAAGAATTACATAATATAGATAAAAATTATATAAATATTAATAGAATAAAAACATGAATAGTACGAACAAGTAACCCCTTTTATTTTTTTAAAAAAACTTAATCTAGAATGGAGCTGAAAATTGGCGACAAATACAAAATGGTAAAGAAAGTTGGAAGTGGTGCCTTTGGTGAAATATATAAGGGTAAATAAATAAGTATAGATTAACAGAATTTAGGTATTAATCTGAAATCCGGAGAAGAAGTTGCTATAAAGCTGGTAATTAATCTTTTTGTTTTGCTCATTGCCTTACTGATCAATTTTACTTTAGGAACCTGCTAAAACTAAATATCCTCAGTTGTACTATGAAGCAAAACTCTACAAAATATTCGATGGAGCTGGTAAGATTTACTCTATGATTATCGACCTTATCATATTAGTTGGTGTACCGAAACTTTACTACTATGCTCAAGAAGGAGATTATAATGTAATGGTAATTGACTTACTTGGTCCATCACTTGAGGAACTATTTGAGTATTGCAGAAGAAAATTCACACTTAAAACAGTTCTTATGATAGCTATTCAAATGGTAAATTCATCAATGTTAAATTTCTAGCTTTAAAGAATAGAATTTGTGCATTAGAATGGATTCCTTCACAGAGATATAAAACCCGACAACTTTTTAATTGGAGCTGGAAAAAATCAGCATATTATTTACATTATAGATTTCGGATTAGCGAAGCGCTACAAAGACCCAAAAACTGGCAGACATATCTCCTTTAAGGACAATAAATCCTTGACCGGAACTGCTAGATACGCTAGTTTGAATACTCATCTAGGCATAGAACAGGCAAGAAGAGATGATCTTGAGTAGATTGGTATAGTTCTAATGTATTTTTTAAGAGGAAATCTGCCATGGTAAGGTCTACCAGCAAAAACAAAGGAGGAAAAATATGAATAAATTAAGATTAAGAAAGCTGTAACCTCTATTGAAGACTTGACAGCAGGCTATCCAAAAGAATTTCAGTAGTATCTAAACTATAGTAGGAAATTGAAGTTCGAAGAGAAGCCTGATTATCAGCAAGTGATCTCAATGTTCAGGGAACTCTTTGTTAGAGAGAGTTTTGACTTTGATTTCATGTATGACTGGATTTTAAAGAAACAGGCTTTGAAACAAAGACTAGCAGCGAGTACTAGAAATACTTAAAGAATAGAAGAGGAAAAGAAAACTCCAGTTGAGGCCTCTAATAATAGAGCTAATCTGACTTAATAAAACTAGCACCGAGAAGGCTAGAACAACTCACAGTTAGTTTAAGGCCTTCAAACAATCCAAGGCAACTTCTAATATAACAACGATTACTAATAAATGTCTCAATAATAAATACAATCTAAGCTAAGAGAGTCTGCAACTATAATGAGAAATCCAACTGATGCAGTAAAACAATATAACAGCAACGGTAGATAGCCTAGTGTTGAGAATACTAATATACTACAAAGCTTGACACAGGGTTAAACATCGACATCGAATCAATTCTACATTCAGCAGAATAAGCTATCAAATGACAACTAGATGAGAAATAGATAGATGAGATAAGAGTTTAAGTAATTAATTAACTTTTGAAATAAACTTTGTTTAGATCTTCAGCCTAGCATATTTTAGAGGGACAAGTAGGTGCTGTTCCATTGCCAAATCTTCCCAAATAAACAAGCAATAGCAACACTCGGGGGAATTCATAATTGAACAATAAAAGAATAGAGTCTAATGGCTCATAGATTCTAGCACAGCCATTTACTATGGGACTTCAATCTTAAAATATGGTTACTTCTTATTACAATAATAGATGAGGTAAAAATAAATGAAGAATATAATGATTATTGTGATTAAATAAAGTTTATTTATTATGAGTAAAATATACTTCTAATAATTTACAGTTTTAATCTCATGGGGTTTTGGGGTTTTGGGGTTTTGGGG